ATTTTATATTTAGTTTTCTCTATACATATTGTCTTCCTCCAATAGAATGCATTTTTTCTTGATGACAAGAACTATTTCTTTTTGTGTTTGCATCTCATTTCTTGGAACATAGTCGGCATTTAATGAATGCTTGTTGAATTGAATTGAATCAGATGTATGTGGGCATATGTATGTGTACAACCCAGGAATATGAATCTTCCCGATTTAAGGTCCGGTACTCTATTCACTTTATCACTTAACTGTCCCTGTGTGTATGTATGTTTGTATGTATTTGTATGTGTATATGTATATGTGTCTATGCATGTATATCCATACATAGACACATATACATATCAGGACATTAGATGGTGAAGTAGATATAGTGCAGGGCCTTAAGCCAGGAGGACTCATCTTTCTCAGTTCCAATATGGCCTCAGACACTTACTAGCTGTGTGACCCTGGGCAAGTCACTTAACCCTGTTTGCCTCCATTCCTCATCTGTAAAATGAGCTGGAGAAAAAAATGGCAAACCATTCCAGTATCTTTGCCAAGAAAACTTCAAATGAAGAGTCAGACATGAGTGAAATGACTGAAAACCAAAAAGCACACACATATAAATATCGAGGAAATTTGTAGAAAAAGAAATACCATTTACAATAAAAAGTATCAAATGCTTGAATATTAACTTACCAAGATAGATATAACCTGTATATAAACACTACTGTAAGGCAATTTTAACATAAATGAATTAAATAACTAAAGAGCTTTTTGATATATTTGACTAAGAAAGGCAATAAAGTAAAGAGGCCAATAATATCATAATTAATTATAGATGTAATGCAATACTAATTAAAATATAAATGAGATGTTTAATAGAATTAATTAAAATAAAATTCATGTAGAAAAATGAATAGACTATAATATCAGTGGTTATTGGGGGAGTGGAGAAAGGAAGGACAAGGAAACTTGCACTCCCAGATATCAATTTTATAATAAAGCAGTAATTGTCCAAAATATACCATCCTAGATAAAATGAGTAGAAAAACAGATCGATAGAACAGATTAATCCAGAACTATCCAAAGGCATTCAACAGCCTAGTACATTGTAAATCTAGGATCACAAAATAATGAAGGAATTCATTATTTAATTAAAATTATTTAGAAAATTGGATAGCACTGTGGTGAAAAGATGGAATTAGATCCATACCTCATACCACATACATTAAATTTCAAATGAATTAGTGATACAAATATAAAAATACATGACTTTATTAGTATTTAATCAAATTAGATTTTAATGGAATGTGTAAGTGTAGAGAGAAGAAAGTCTTAGCTATTCAATAAATTGAAGAAACAATTAGTGTAATAGATGGACCTGACTATACGTAAAAATAAGAGTTTTTGCAAATTTAAAAGAAACATATACAGAATTTAAAAGAAGTAGATAGGAGAAAACTCTCTGCATAATTTTCTTTTGATAAAAAGACTGACATTACTAATTTGGCCTAACTGCATTTCTGTGAATTCAGCATTCCCACTTCCTTGCTCAGTAAGAGATATCCCACTTGTCTGCAAGGAATTGCCACCCAATCTCTGCCTTTTAGAGTCCTCAAATTCCTTCAAGCACTAACTCAGGGCCATTTTCTACAGAGAGGCAATAGTGGAAGGGGCTGCATGTGGAGTCAGGAAGACCTGGGTTCAAATCCTACCTCTGACAATTATTAGCTATGAGTCTCTTAGACTTTCTGTGCCTCAGTTTCCTCATCTATAAAATGAAGGGGTCAGTTTTTCCTCCAAGATCCCTTTGAATGCAAAATCAATGATCTTAAAGCTTTTTCTGATCCCCTTGGTCAAATAGTGCTCTTCTGCCCCTCAAATCATCTTGTATCTATTGTTTCTCCTTAGGAGAATATAAGTTCCTTGAGGGCATGGACAATTTTTTTTTTGTTTTTATATCCCTTGCCCCTAGTATAATGCTTACACTTAATAGACTTAATCAACACTTACAAAATTTAAATTAACACAAATTTATGAGTAAGATCCATTTCCTAATAGATAAATGCTTGAAGCATAGGAAAGACAGCTTTTGAAAGAAGAAACACAATCAATATGTACCTGAAAAATCATTCACATTCTGATAATGAAAAAGTGAAAATTAAGACATCGTATGTCCATTAAATTGGTAAATATAGTTACAAAATGATTACTGCTAGTGAATGCTCATCTTCCAGTGTAGAAATAGGGACACTATAGCACTATTGGTGGAGTGGTCAGTTGGCGCAATCTTTTCACATGTAAAGATAACGTGGTATTAAACTGCAAGTCACAAAACTGTTCAGACCTTTTGACTCAATGATCCTACTACTTGAGCTCTGCCCGAAGTAACTATTGACAGGAGCAAAAGACTTATCTCTGCAAAAATACTGTTAGCAACATTATTTGCGATGGTCAAAAAAAAAAATAGAAAGAAAGAAAGAAAAAAGAAATCCTGAAAACAATGATTGAAGAATAAATAATTTGTAGCCTATGAACATGTAAGGTGTGTGTATGTAATAGAATAATATGTCATAAGCAATGTCAAACAAAGAATATGATGAAATATGGGGAAAACTTACATATAGTGATGTAGCATGAAGAAAGAAGAACCAAAGTAGCAGTTTACCCCATGACTACTGCTATGTAAATTGTTGTTGTTCATATTTTGATTTCAAAGAGGACCAGTAACTTCACAGGGTGATGCCTTGACTTGTGTGTGAGTTGGATTTTAAGTGAGGCAGAGTTGCACAAAGTTGTCAGCCTCACTCGCTCTTCCAGTGTCATTGAAATCCAGTGGCAGGACAAAAGTCAAGATGACTAGTGATGGCCCAGGATGCAGTGGATGACCTTGGTGTCCTGATATTTGACCAAGCTCTAAGTGCTCCGCAGTGCCTGCTTCAGCTGCCTTCACGATCGTTGGAACAAATTGTTCTCATCAGCCTACTCTGCTGGAGAAGTCTTCACACACATACTTGGGCTAGGCATCCCCCTAACTCACCAGTGGATTTGGGGCCATGGGTTACCCTCAGCCTTGGTTTAGACCATCTGTCGAGACCACTTTAGTGGGGTGTGGAGGCTGCATATACTATAGCTTCTTGGAGCCACAAGTGAGAATTGGATGAAGGTGGGCGCCAAAGGTGGATGAGCAGCCCTGAAAAGGGCTCAGCAAGCCCTCACACTAGGGGTGCTAGTCCTCCCTAAATACCTTACATGTTATAATAACAATAACAATAATAATAATACGCTGTAACAAAGAAGTCTGGGAAACTATACAGAGGGTGGAAGAAAACGTTCAGAAGGGAAGAGAAACAAAAGACAATTTTGAATTTACTTTATTAAAGTTAACACGCATATTTTAAAACATTTGTAAAAAGCTGTAAATGATGAAACTACATTTCATCTGAATGCTAAAATTTCTTGTTCATGTATTTGAATATCCTTTTTGATGGCTACTATTTATAATAAATACATTTAAAATGTTAGACTGATTTGCTATGAGTAGGCTTCTGAGATTGGTAAATTACTCTAAACTCCTTTTTTCATCAACTCTATGCATCTTTAACTTTGCTATCACTTATTATCATTATCTTCCCTACCTCTTCACATCAATAAACCGAGCAAATTCAACCCACGTACTCCAAACATAGGTTTCTAAAACAGGAGATGGACGAAAAAGACTGATTATATGTCCATTTCCTTTTAGAACTACTGGCTTGATTTTAATTAGTCTTACTTTCTCTGTCCCCTAGATTCATCCTGATTTCGTGTGGGCAATGGATACGCAAACAAGCATTGGCTTACATCCCCTCCAGTACCTTAGCTGAATTCATTATAACTTTAGTAGGGCCCCTTAGTGATAACTGTGAAAGCACTACTACATGCCCAGTGTCATCATCAATTATAAAAACATTTGAAAAAAAAGAAAAAAAGAATAAAAGCATTTGAGACAGGATTCAAATCAAGCATTTGTCATGCTTTAGCTCCCCTCTTTAAATTCCAGTCAAATGGACCTCAAATATTTGAGAAATCCTTATTTTTCTGGGAATTCCGTCCCAAACATGTAGCAGGCATACAGGCAGACACAATGAAAGGACCACCTGATGCCTTGCACTAAATTTTTGGATTGCTGTACCTCACTCACTACCACCCTCTGGTGGGCATAGTTCATTGATTTCCATTATACTGCCATCATAATAGCATTATAATTTAGTGGCCAAGCCATACATTTTTAGAACTCGTAGAATGTTAGAGCTGAAAGGGGCCTCCGAGAATAACTAGTCTAACTGCCTCATTTTATAAATGAGGAAACTGACCTAGAGCAGTGGTTCCAAACTTATTTTTTTGAGGTCCCCTTGGGAGCCATGAAGTTATTTCAAAGGGCTGGTGCATTCCATCTGTTAATGAAGCATTGTCAATGACCTTTATTTAGCTCCAATAATATATGCAGTATATGTGCCAGTTAATACGATTCTAAGCATAGGGATGGTTTTTCATCAATTGGCCACAAGATGGCAGTAGTTCCATTATTGCAGAACCTAAATGGCACATTGAGCAATTTTACCTGTATGTGGGGGGAAAGAAAGGCTTGAGCATGTGGGAGAAACAGAAATTATTGCTGATTGGTTGACATTATCCGAAGCTCTCTTGTTTCTGCTGAAATAGGAGAACAAGAAATAAAGGAGAGAACTAGCTCCTTCAATTGGGAGCCAGGGTGAATTGTCATCCCAGGGCCCAGAACTGACTCCTCGGTGAATGCGGATATACTGAAGAATGAAGAATCCTGCGGGAGTTTCATTAGTGGTCCTATGCATTCAGCTGGGATGTGAGTTTGGGGTTTCTGGAATGGGAACAAGGAAAAGTCCCCACAAAAAGTGATAAGGACTCGATCTGGCTTGCCTAGGATTCTGTATGGAAACTATGTAAATAAAAAAAGCAGATTCTGAGGGAGTTACCTAATGACCAGTCATCTGTGTCTTTCTTAACAGGGGCAAGAGGGCAAGACAAGTTGGAGCAGAGTCCATCGACCTTGAGAATCCAGGAGGGAGAGAATATCGCTCTGAACTGCAGTTACTCAGTGGGAAATTTTAATGGCCTGCTGTGGTATAGGCAGTATCCTGGGGAAGGTCCTGTCTTGTTGTTTCAAATGTTTTCCGATGGGAATGAGAAGAATGAGGGAAGAACAACGGCATCTCTGGACAAGACTAAAAGTCACAGCTCCCTGTACATCATGGCCTCGCAGCCTGGAGACTCAGCCACCTACTTCTGTGCTATGACGACACAGTGATTCCCAGACACCTGTAGTCTGTGCACAAACCCTTCAGCTTAGACCGTGCCCTCAGGAGCTATGTCACTGCCATATCTGAATGGGAGTAGTTCTACTCTACAGGCAGCTAGGTGACTCGGTAGATAGAACATTGGGCCTGGAGTCAGGAAGACCTGAGTTCAAATCTGGCCTCAGATACTTAGCTGTGTGGCCCTGGGCAAGTCACTTAATCCTGTTTGCCTCAGTTTCCTCATCTATTAAATGAGTGGTAGGAAATGGCAAACCACTCCAGTATCTTTGCCAAGAAAACCTCATGGACAGTTTTGGTGTCCATAAGGTCATGAAGAGTAGGACATGACTCAAAGACAAAAAGGTTTATTCAAGGTGACTGTAAAAAGGAAAAATTGTGAGTCAAGCTCTATGGAAAGAGTCCTGCAGCAAGGCTTGCCAATAAATTGACCCTTAGCCAGAACTGTGTCTGACCTGGTACCTGCTACGATGTGTAGCACTTGGAGGAGAGGTAGAGAGGGGCTTGAGTCTTTGTAAATTAGAAGAAAGTAGGCAGGAGAAAATGATGCTAGAAGCCCACCTATCATTATGCTTCCGTGGGATTTTAGATTTCTGATAGGCAGGCTGGTCTACATGGATGTAGCCTCTAGAACATTTAATTAGCACCCCATTTTAGTTCTGGGGGTTTCAGGATGAAGAGCAACAGAATTTCAGATTTAGAGCAAATAACTGGAGCCGAACTTGACTAAATCCTGAGGGATGATTCCTGTAACCTCTGGGTTCCAGCAGTCCATCCTTAGACAAATGAAGGAAAGAGAAGCCTGGCTTCTGGCAATGTGTTCTGTGTGATTCAAAGACTTGAACTTTTCATTCTGAGTAGTAACCAGTGAGTGAAGGACATGGCTGTCAGCAGAGGAAGGGTTTCTACCTTTGGGAAGGCTACATCTATAGACCAAGTAAAAGCTGTCGCTTGTGACATCTATTGCTTTGATAGTAACATACTTGCTAACCTGGCTTGGTTTTCCCAATGATTTAGAGCCAGTGCAATGCATCAACCCTGTTATTTCCTCTTTTCTACAGGACCCGGGGCATCATTCAAAAATAACCCATAATGCCTCAGCAGAGAAGTACTCTACTATCAAACTTGGTTCACTGCTACAGCATGGTGGACAAATACTGACCAAGGTACACACGAGGACTACATACAAACATATTCACACATACTCCATTCAAGAGTGTCTGTGACTCAGTTTTCCCTTCTACATAGTAAAGCTATTAGACTGAGAAATGAAATTTAGGATCATAGGATTTTAGAGTTGAAAGGGACTTTACAGGCTACCTACTCTAATACCTGCACTTTACTGAAAAAGAAGCTGAAGTCAAGAAAGGTTTAATGACTTGTCATATAGCTACTAAATGACAAAGCGTGGACTGCTATCTAGGTCTTCTGACTTAATCTTATACTCCTTCCATCACAAAGACACATAGGCAGTATATTGGGTAAAACAGTAAGCTTATAATAATCATAATAGTTAACATTTATGAAGTATTTATTATGTGCCAGGCACTGTGCTAAACATTTTACAATTATTATCTCATTTGATTCTCACATCATCCCTAGGAGGTAGGTGCCACAGGTGAGGAAATTGAGGCAAAAAGAAGTTAAATGACTTATCCAGGGTCACACAGCTAGTAAATATCTGAGGGCAGATTTGAACTCAGGTCTTTCTGACTCCAGGTCTGGTGCCCTATCCACTGTGCCACCTAACTACCTCAAGGAATAATGTAAAATTGAGTTTAGTTCCTCAGTTATAAACTTTATTTTTTTAGCTGTGTGACCCTGGGAAAGTCACTTAACCTCTTTTAGTCTCAGTTTCTTCATCTGTAAGATGGGATAATAATAACATTTAACTCATTTCATTATTGTCAGGGTCAAATGAAATAATTTACATACATATTACATGAAGTGCTTTGCAAATCTTAAAAAACTATATATGTATTAGTTCTTATGCCAATTGCCTTTTGTGGTTGGGAAATGGCAGGCTTGCAATATTCTCATTCAATCTCTCCAATTTGCTTTGAAAAGGTAACAAATTCAGCTCTCTCCATCCCTCCAGTGATTGTACAGGGCTGACAAAAGAGACTTCTTTCCCTTATTTAGAGTACAAGACGCAGCCTAAGACCCATCATTTTTCAAATCTTCCAGGTGCATAACCTGAGCACAGTTGCTACCTTAGTTCAGGCCCTCATCACCTCTTTTCTAGGTTATTGGAACAGTAGCCTGATCCATTTCCCTGCCTCAAGTCTCTCACCACTCCAGTCTATCTTACATACTGCAGTCAAAATAATTTTTTGGGGTCAACTAGGTGGTGCAGTGGATAAAGTACTCGCTCTGGAGTCAGGAGGACCTGAGTTCAAATATGGCCTCAGATATATAACACTCACTAGCTGCGTGACTCTGGGCAAGTCACTTACCCCCCAGTTGCCTCACCAAAAAAAAAAAAAATTTCTTGAGTGCAGATCTGATCATGTTATTCTCCTGTTCAGACAACTCCAATGCCTATCTTTTGCCCTTAGGATAAAGTATCAACTTCTCTGCTAAGTCTTTTAAGCCCTATACAGCCTCATCCTGACCTCTTTCTATCCTCTTTGGCTCTATTTTGCTCTTATGTGCTCTGCCAACCAGTCAAACTGGCCTTCTCTCTGTTCCTCACACATGGAGCTCCTCTTCTACCTCTGTGCCTTGGCATTGACCATCCCCATACCTGGAATGCACTGCCTTCTTGTCTCTTATTCATGGAGTCCTTTTCCTTTAAGGTTGCAGCTCAAGCCCCGTTTTTTATATAAAACTTTTCCTGATCACCCTCAACTGCTAATGTATTACCTGCCAAACTACTTTTGTTTAACTTCTTTGTTATGAATTTAGTTTTCATCTTTTTTTTTTTTTGTTCAGTTGTTTCAGTTCAGTTCATGAATCTCCATGACCCCTTTGGGGTTTACTTGGCAGAGATACTGGAGGGGTTTGCCATTTCCTTCTCCAGCCCATTTTACAGATAAGGAACTGAGGCAAACAGGGTCAAGTGACTTACCCAGGGACACACAGCTAATAAGTGTTTGAGGCTGGATTTGAACTGAAGAAGATGAGTCTTCCTGACTTCCGGCTGGGCACCACCCAGTTGCCCTTACTTTTTATCTGTACTGTATTTATTTTTATATGCAGTTGCTATCTTCCCCATTAGAATGTAAACTACTTGCAATCAGGGTTGCTCCCCCCACCCCCAATCTTTATACTCATATCCCCAGAGCTTAGCATAGTGCCTGGCATATGGTAATTGCTTAATAAACATTTGATTGGCCGATGTTTCAGTTTGTTTTGCTATTGCTATTTCTTTGTTATATGTCACAAAGGAAGGTTCTGTTGAAGGAGTGGAACTAAGAAATAACAATATAAAAAGAATTAACAATATTATATTTTAGAAACATCATATATGTATATATACACATAATCATATGCATATATTTATATACATCTATAGGATATCCAAAAAGTATTAGGACAATAATGAAAAATGGCGTGAGGACTTTTGGGATACATGTATGTGTGTGTGCATGCACGCATACGTGTGCACCTGAATCTCTGGTTTAGAGATGACACGACTGCATTACTAGATCAATTTCTCTCAGTGAGTAATAGTTTGCTTTTAGCAAGTCACCAATGTGCATGAATTCATTTGCTTTTTAAATAAGCATTTACTATTCTAAGTCAGGAACTATTCTGGGTGTTAATACTAATACACATACGGTTCCTTCCCTCAAGGAGCTTTTACTGTTATTGTTCCTTACGTGAAATGAACATTAAAAATGCCTTTTCTATTTATTGCCTTGGACAGGCTTCAGGACATTCTTCCCTTACTTTTAAAGGTCACCACTAAGGCATGTGGTTTTTCATGGAAATCATTGAAGTACTTTGTTATTTCATTGTTTCGGAGTAGGCAGTAGGGGCGCCCTAGTGTATTGCCAGGACCGTACAGCCAATGGGATCTTTTATACTATAAAGGTCTTCAAACTATTATGAGGCACATAAAAATGCAAATAAGCATGGGTGAGATTTCTAGCTAGGACACAGACGCCCCCAAAAGGGGCAACATCCCAATGTGGCTGCAACCCCTGAGAAGGCCACGCCAGGGTTGCAGTTGTCCTCATGGTAGAGGTCTTGCTTGATGATTCATATGAACAGATGAAGCCTTAGAATTTGTTTTTTTTTAAAAATTTATTTATTTTTTAGGCAATTGGGGTTAAGTGACTTGCCCGGGGTTACGCAGCTAGTCAGTGTCAAGTGTTTGGTGTGAGGCAGGATTTGAACTCAGGTCCTCCTGACTTCAGGGCTGGTGCTCTATCCACTGTGCCACCTAGATGCCCCTTAAGCCTTAGCATTTGGCAAACCAATCATGAATTCAGTCCAATTTAATGAACACTTATTAGATCAAATAAGCATATGCAAGGCAAAGTGTTCCCCTTGCGAATGAATTGATAGTACATGTACAAAGGCCAAATGGCGTAACAGGTAGTGGGTTGAATTTGGAGTCAGAAGCATTTGGGTTGAAATTCCTCCTGCTAAATCTAACTTCTCTGGGCTCCAATTTCCTATCTGTAAAATGGGGATAATGTTACCTTTTGTAAGGCTCCAATGAGACAGTTTATGTAAAGTGTTTGACAACTTTAATGCACTTTGGGAGAAATGTCAACGACTAGTAGGTAAATATCAGGAAGTAGGAC